GACCCTCGGCATGTCCGCCCCACGAGAGGCCTCCGGACACAGCCTCGGGAGGCCGCCCTGCGAGAAGGCCTCGGGGAGCTGCTGATGACGCTTGCTGATGTGCGCCTCGCGAGACGGGGGCCCTCGAGAGGGGCTTGCTTGTGAACTCCAGCGGTGGGCCGTGTCTGGCCTTTGGCATGCATCGTGTCTTGGGCCGCAAGCGGACGGGTCTGGGTGCCCCCATTCCCACGGGCCCGACACCAATGCCGTACATATGCTATTAAGAAACAGTATAATGTAACGAGCTATGGCTCTTCACAGCGTTCACGTCGCTGTCGTCTGATTAGATCGATCGGCCATCGTCTGGTGTTTCTTGGGCTGCTGCTCCGTACACTTACCTAGGCCCATTGTGGTTAATCAGGCCTGGACTGGTCCATCGCCATCATCTGTTCTTCTTGGGCTGCTGCTCCATACACAGACGTAGGCCCATTGTGCTTAATCAGGCTTGGGCTGCTGGCAGGCACCGATCAATCTTTATGTCAAAAAAAGGCATCGACCGATCTTGGTTGCGAGCCTTCCGCTCCTCTCGTGATGGGTGAAGGAAATAGCAACGGCGCCGGCGCCGGCGGTAACAGCTGCACCACGTTCTGAGAGGTATCCATGTACGCTCGAGATGATTGTATGCACAAAAAATGAAAATAAGTAGAACATCCTACATCAAAGCCTGCACTACATAGCTCACCAAGTAAACCAAATGCTTTTTTTTAACATTAAGTAAACCAAATGCTTTTTTTTGCTGATATAATCAATATTACGAAGATAAGCATCAAAATCACCATATGGCAAAGCTGGTTAGTAAATAAACAATCCGTCCCTATGTAACTTTATTGTAAAACATAATGATAATTCAACTACAAATTTTTTCTAACAATAACAGATTGAGCCGCCACCGAGCCACGCCCCCAAGGCGGTTTGCATTTTCATCCATGACACGTCACTTAAGCTGCCTAGACACCCTTATTCCATGCCCATGGCACGAGCTAACCAATATGATGTTCTGTTGTGTGGCTTTGCACCAATTAGGTCTACTTGCAAGTTCCCGTGTTATTAGTTTAGTGAATTGCCACCAAAATACTATATCAAATATTCATCAGATGGAGTTATATATTCGCAACATTATAATTTTATAACTTTGGTAAACATTTCTATAATTTTCCATTAAACTGGACGAGCGCGGCAACGCGCGCCGTCATGTTCTAATGGGTCGATATAACAGGTTGTGCCAAATCACCTTTCACAAGGAACCATTGTGACACATATCCTGAAAACATTAATGAACAACAAAACCAAGTTTGGTAAGACAACCATGGAGATAGGTCCGTTCTACCCCATCATACGGGATGCGGTTTCATCGTGCCAATCATGGCAACTAAATAAGGCTACTTTGATTGTCGGGTGCAGACCGCATCCAAGTACTCATAAGCAACCAAAATATTATCGGCTATCAACTATCCATGCAGAAAAGGCTATCAAATGATCACAAATTATCACATGAAGAAAACATGTTGGGAAATACTCTGCACGTGATCTTGTATAAGACGTTGCGTAAAGTTGATGCGGGCGAAAAATCTTTGAATGTTTAGGGTGGTTCAACTTTGGGATCAGTGTAGAAGTGCATGCTCTAGCCAGTGCAACCAAAGGACCTATCTAATGGAAGAGACTGTGCAATACATTTATACGTCAACACTCCCTCTCACGTGTGGCTCCCTCAAGTCTAAACGTGGAACAAAAGTGGCTGCAATTCTCCCCTCCCTCGCGTCGCCCTGCTTGGGCAACTCGAGGGCGAAATCTAGCCCCGCCGCCTCCCCTCCCCCCTCCTCGATCTCCCCACGCCGCCACCGGAGGCTGCCGCCGGGCAAGCCTGGTGTGCTGCTGATGACGGTGGCGGCGGGGCCCTCGCTGCCTTGCCTCGCCCGCGGGGGGCTGTGGGATCTGGGGCAGCAGCCCCGGCTGGTGTGACGCCTCCAGCTCGGCATCTGGTGGCTTGGGCGTGGGCCGGCGGTCTTGGCCGTGTGGACGGCGAGACCTCCGGAGGATGCAGATCGGGGCGCGGCGACGGCTTCGGCTACGATGGCGTCAGATCTGGCCGTCTCCTCCCCAACTCTCCACCAGCGGGCTCCTCCCTCCCCCCCTCAGATCCGGCCTGCTACAGCGTCGGGGGCCGGTTTTGGTGGGTGGGAGCGGATGTTGGGGGTCCAGGACCAGGGGAAACCCTAGTCAGCTTTGCCGGCGCGACGGCGGCGACGCCCGCGGGCGCCGCTCACCTCCTTGCAGGCGCCGGTCAGGTCTTGTCCTCCCCATCCCATGCCCACTTGCGTCCCGGGTGAAAACCACAACTTTTTTGGACGGCGGCGACGCCCTTGGCGCCGTAATCTTCTTGAAGACACCGTTTTTGGGAACAAGTGGGGCGGTGGGCTTCGGTGTGGTGTGGTTGGTGTGCGGCGGCGGCGGCAGCAAGTCTCCAGCGGCGTGTCCTCCTCGAGCGGGGCTCTGTGTCTATGGTGCCCCTCGTGCGGCTATTGTGCAAGCGATTTCCAGGCAGGGAGAGGATAGAGTTCCCCTCCGCCGGTGGTTTTCCTCACCAGCTCGCCGAGGAAGCCGGAGCTTCTGAGTTTTGTTCTTGGCCCCTGCTATTGTTTCATCCTGGCAGATTACCCTCTTTCTTGCCCGGCCTCTGGTTTTGGGTCTGGTGGGCTCTAGGCGAGTCGCCGTCGACATGTCAGGATCGCCTGGTTCCGCTCCAGTGGCTTCCCTGGGTACCATCCAGGAAGGTTCTAGGGTGAACTAGTCCATCGCTCAACGGTGTGGCGCCTTTCGAGCCAGGCGAGGAGACAGGGGTCTTCTTTGACGATGGACTTGTCTCGGTGTGTTTCCCACAAGTCCCTGGTGTTCTGGCAATGGCTTGCCTCTCATCGTCGTCGTCTCCTTCATTGAGCCGGCAGATGCCTTTCCCATGGTTGTGTGCGTGCAAGAGGGCCCTAGCATCCCCTAGCTGTTAGCTTCATGTTATCTAGTTGGTTGTGTGCTATGTGGGCTGCCTCCCAGCGCCTTTGTATCTTTGCCGTTTTCCTTTTCTCTGTGTGGTTCGTGGTTGTAATCTTTGTTATCCTGGCCGGTTGATGGCTTTGTTAATTCAAAGCCGGGCTCTTTCTTGAGCCTTCGTTCTAAAAAAAAAGTGGCTGCAATTTAATTGCGTTAGCCTGGTCTTGAATTCGAGACATCTTGACTCTGATACCATGTAGAAGTGCATGCTATAGCCAATACAACGAAAAGAGCAATCTAATAAAAAAGACTATGCAATAAATTTATACGTCAACAACCAGTATGATGATGGATTAACACAAAATCCCTTTTCGAAAATGTTCTCAGCATATGGCTTACACGGGTATTGCCTTCATAGCATCACACACATTAGCACGGGAGAGTGAGGCCCGCTCAAGAGCACAATAGTAACAAGTGGAGGCGTCACTGAAGGCATCACTAATGGAGGTATCGAGAGAAGATGGTGGGAGGATGGAAAAAAACAGGCCAAGCGAGGACAAGCTATCATGCCAAAGCGACGGCCTACTATTGTTGTTGATACGCACCGAGGTGATCACATTGGAATCGGGTCAATGAAAACAATATGCCATGATCCTTAAAGTAAAACCATATATAGCAACACTCTAAGGGTTAAAAAAATAATCTCAAATAATCATTTCAAGTGTTTTTATATACATATTAACTGTTTACTTAGAACTTAATACCCGGCCGCATGGATTATGATAGGATAGGACCTCGTGGGGTCGATTGGCAATGGCGGAACCGGACGATTCATCTACTCTTTTGGCTTGTAGGTGGCGCCGACCTTGAACTCTGTGGAGACAACGCCGTCGAAGACGTCGAGCATGCCCTCTCCGTCTCATAGCAGAAGCTGTAGGCGCCCTTGAGGGGTTTTTCACCCTTGATCTCCCCGACGCCGCCGGCCCCCTTGGTGAGGGGCAGCCAGTCCTCGTTCTACTTCATGTTGTCATCGGCCTTGTCGTACTTGATCAGCAGCGCCGGCTTCTTCTTGTCGGAGACCTTCTCCACCATCAAGCTCACTGGCGGCGGCGTGCACCATGCTATGGACATGTGATCTCGTTTCAAAACCCTTGTCCAGGTGAAGCCACTGGTGAAGATGGGTCACTAATCGGATTAATGGTTTGTGAGACCAATCATTCTAAGTCGGAAAATAAAAATTAATGTGATGATGTGCTCTTCATATAGGCAAAATCCCATTGAGATGCTGCACCACCACAGTGAATGTGTGCATGCATGTGTTTTTTTATTTATTGTTTAGGGTGGTTCGCCATTGATATCATTACGATGGTGGAGTCGAACAACCCCTCCCAAATCATATCTCCTTCCTCGAAACCGCTAGCAACCTCACAAATTTCACTTTCGAAACATTTTGGATGGGTCTATTAGAAAGGTGTCGGGGAACCATTTGGTACTGGCGCCTTCATGGGCCCCTTCTCTGATCTCCTTGTCGGAATACGCCTTACACTGGTCTCCATTCATATCATGAGTGACTACATGGGAGATTGAGAGCTCCTTGTGAGCACCCCATATATGGGGAGGGGCGTCAAAAATAGGGTGCCCGTCATTGCAAGGACATATTATCAAGACAAAGGGACAACATATGGCTGTTGTGTTCTCTTTTTTTTTGTTGGTTACATATGGTTGTAGTCAACGCGCACCAAGGCAATCGTGGGGTAGAGCATAATCCGACTACTTAACAAATATGTTATATTTCTTATAGCGAGTACCATAAACAATATTACTAGCAAACTTAGAGATTATATAGAAATGAAATCTAGGTTTCAAGTATATTACAAATAATATTCCACATATTCGATACATAGAAGAAAACAAGTCGTCAATCGAGACAACACGTGCACTGGAGAGCAAATACATCCGACCGCCGCCCGTTGCTTCTCCTAGTACTCCCTTCATCCAAAATTACAACTAATTCAGAACGGAGGTAATACTACTTAACTTATTAGCATCTGTGCGCCTTGTGGCACATTATTAATTACGAGGTCGGTAATGGCGGATTTATCAAAAAGAAAGGTAGATAATGGCGGAACCAATGCATGGATGAACCTCAGTACGCCTCTGGCTTGTAGGTGGTGCCGCACTTGAAATCTGTGGGGACGATGTCATCGAAGACGTTGCGCTGGCCCTTCTGGGTCTCGTAGCGGAAGCTGAAGGGGCCCTTGAGGGGCGTGTCGCTCTTGATCTCCCACGCGCCGCTGTAGCCCTTCTTCAGGGGCAGCCAGTCCTCGTTCTGCTTCAGCTCCACCTCCTTCATGCTGTCGCCGACCTTGTCGTACTTGATCTGCAGCACCAGATGCTTCGCGTCGGACCCCTTCTCCACCGTGATGCTCACCGGCGGCGGTGCGCTCCACGCAACGGCCACTAGGGCGGCCACCACCACAACAACCAGCATCCTGCTCGATGAAGCCATCGCCGGTCGGTTGATTCTTGTGTGTGTGTGTGTGTGAGTGTGTGTGGTTCTGCTGCTGTGGGATTGTGAGCTTGTGATGGGTTGTGTGGTGTGGCACCATATTTATGCGCGGACGCGCGGCGCTCCGGCCATGTCGCTCGCGGCCCTCGGTGACGGAGAGCCGCGCACGCATGAACGGACCAGCTCTGTCTTCTCGGTCATGGCCGGTTGGCCGCATAAACCACCGACATCGCCGGAGCGTTGGCCGGTCGCATGCCTGCCTAATTATACACATAGCAGCAGCAACAAACAAAAAATAATGAGCTTTCCTCGGACGGACGATCGAGATGGCTTCGCTTCGTCGTCGATGCGAGAAATTCTTTTGGTCGTGCCCTAGCTAGTGCTAGCGAGTAGAGGTGTCTTCCAGACGGCGTAGATGGGGGCTCGTTGCCTGGCCACACGTGCACGTGGCGCGCGGCTGTTGGTTGCGAGAAGCCACGTGGTGCAGTATTTCGTTCGCGGTTGCAAAGCAGGACACGTACGCGAGCACGGAGAGCCGTCCACCTCACGCACGCATGCACCGCCTTTGCATGCGCCACGTCGAAGCCTCCGTGACAGACACGTGCAGCTAGCTAGCTGCCTCTCCATTCCATGTCCGGCTCCATCTGCTACTTATTTATACCTGCTCCATGCATGTGTCACATGATCACTCCCTTGCAACTTGATAAGATCGAGATAATTCCAGACACGCGCGCACACACACATAGGGCAGGAGATAGAAGAACAGTTATTATGGCTTCATCGGCGGTGAGCCACAGCCACGGCGGGCAGCACCAGCACCAGCTGCCGGCGTCTGGGAGCATGATGGCGCGGGTGGACAGGCTGGACCTGGTGGTGGGGTACCTGGAGGAGCTGCGCCACCACAGCGGCGGCAGCGGCAGGTCGTCCACCACCGCGACCAGCACCCTGTCATCGTCGTCTCCGACCACGCCTCGGTCGTCTCGGCCTCACGGGTGCCGGCCGGCGGAGGAGCTGCTGCGGGAGGCCAAGGCCAAGGGCAGCCTGGTGGAGCGCATCGCGTTCCTGGAGGACCGCGTGCTCCGGATGGAGGAGGAGCGCATGGAGCTGTCGTCGTCGAGCATGCTTGACACGGCGGATCAGACCACGCCGACCTCGTCGGGGAGGAGGACGATGAGGATGATGATGAACGGCGGCGGCGGGGCTGGGGATGAGCATGGGAGTGGTGGGAGCGGGAGGAAGGGGAAGAAGGGGCTCAAGAGCTTGGTCAAGTCGTGCGTCCGAGCAGGCGCCAAGCTCAAGACCAAGGAATAGTCGGTGTCTGTAGTCCTAGTCGTGTGTGTACGTGCACACGTCATGTACACTTCAGGTATCTGTAAAAACGTGTTGTGAATGTATACTTCGTATAAAAGTAGTAATATTAATATATGGAGAACTTATTTCACAAAACGAGGAGTCATCTCAGTCGATTTCCACTATGGGTCAAGAAGCTTAATTTCAGTGAATATTAATGTTCGCATAATTTCAGTGAATATTAATGCTCGCAATGCTGCACAGAGGCATTGCCTGTATTAAACGGCAGTCTACCCATACATTCCACTTGCCATGCTACCCATACTTAGTTGAAATGTGAGATTGGCCTGGAGCCCATATGACAATTTCAGATTTGATCTTTAAGGGCCACGTAGGTGGCATGAGGTAGTCCCATCATGTTAGTGGAATCATGCTAGTGGAGATGGGCCATCAGATTTGATCTCTAAGGGCCTATGTAGGTGGCATGAGGTAGTCCCATCATGTTAGTGGAATCATGCTAGTGGAGATGGGCCATCAGATTTGATCTCTAAGGGCCTATGTAGGTGGCATGACAAGGTGGTGGAAAGTTTAGTCTCATCATGCTAGTGAAATCATGCTAGTGGAAGGAAAGTTGGAGTGATTTATAAGGGTGACTATTCTACATGCTATTGAAGCTTGAGAAGAGAAGAGGGCCTCGCGCTTCTCCTGCCGACAAGAAGGCCGCCGAGGACGCTTCTGCATCGCGGCGGCGGCTTCTGCATGGCCTACTGGAGGGTATACCGCGTTTATCCCTCTTCTGATAATTTCTGTATTCGCAGTGCTAGCATCATGTGTAAATTTGTCTACTATTTACATAGTACGTGCTTGTTTAGATCAGTACCAGTATGTTGTTAGTTCTGTCAATGTCATGCTAGTTATTTACTTATGGATTAAATTAGTCCAAAAATTGCCTATTTTCTTAGCAATCCAAAAACCTATTATGTGTTGGAATTTTTTGGCAAGTGGCTTTGCCGCAGCACTGAAATCGGATAAGTTTACCGGTACGTATTTTAAGCGTTGGCAGACAAAGATCACTTTATGGCTCACGGCTATGAACATGACCTGGGTCACCGGTGTGTTCACGGGAACGATTGCTCCTGAACAGGAGAAGGTGTTCAGGAAGGCAACCACTGTGTTTCTCGGAGCAGTTCTTAGCGTGATCGGAGATAAACTGGTCGACGCATATTTACATGTGCATGTCGCCACGGACTTGTGGGAGACGCTCGAATCTAAGTTCGAGGCCTCCGTGCAGGGAGCGAGATGTATATTATAGAGCAGTTCCACGATTACAAGATGGTTGAGAACCGTCCTGTACTGGAGCAGACTCATGAGATAATATACATTGTTAAGGAGCTTGAGCTTCTGAAGTGCGAGTTATCGGGCAAGTTTGTCGCGGGCTGCATAATCGCTAAGCTCCCCAATTCCTGGAGGAACTTTACCACCACTCTGAAATATCAGAGGCGTGAATTCTCTGTGAAGGATGTCATTGGTCATCTAAGTGTTGAGCAGAATTCGAGGGAAAAGAACTCGCACGAAAAAGGGGCCGAAGGGACTTCTGTTGCCAACATGGTGAACCAGAGGAACTTCAACTCCCACAAGTTCAAGGGAAAGAACGGTGTCCAACAGAATACCGACTTCAAGAAAAAGGGTAAAATGGACCTTCAAGAAGAACAAGAAGAATGAGGGCTGCTTTACTTGTGGTTCGGCTGAACATTGGGTCAATAAGTGTCCAAACAAGTTTAAGAAGTTAGGACAGGACTCCAAGTCTGTCAACATGATTGTGGGAAACAATAAAAATGGTGCATCTTGGTACGGTAATTTATTTACTATTTTTTCAGTGTTTTAGCCTACCGATTGGTGGGTGAATATAGGTGCAGGTGTTCATGTGTGTGCTGACATTTCATTGTTCTTTTCTTACCAGGCCACAGGCCACGGGTCCGTATTGATGGGGAATGGCGCGAGTGCTTTTGTTCATGGTGTTGGCACGGTCGATTTGAAGTTTACTTCGGGAAGGATCGTGCAGCTGAAGAACGTGCAGCATGTCCCCGCCATTAAGAAAAACCTCGTTAGTGGCTCCCTTCTATGTAGAGAAGGGTTTAAGTTGGTATTTGAGTCTAATAAATTAGTTATTTCTAAGTATGGACTATTTGTTGGAAAAGGTTATAAGAGCGGAGGGATGTTTCGCCTTTCCCTCGCAGATTTTTGTAATAAAGTCGTGAACCATATTCATTCGAGTGTAATGAATCGAAGGTTTGGCATTCACGTGTTTGTCACATAAGTTTCGGTGTTATGACGCGGCTAGCTAAGTTGGATTTAATCCCGAGTTTCACTTTAGCCAAAGGTTCTAAGTGTCTGTCATGTGTGCAAGCTAAGCAACCTCGCCAGCCTCACAAAGTTGCAGAGGAGAGACACTTGGCACCATTAGAACTCATGCATTCTAATCTTTGTGAGATGAACGGTGTATTGACTAAAGGTGGAAAGAACTACTTCATGACATTGATAGATGATTCCACTAGATATTGCTATGTGTATCTGTTAAATACTAAAGATGAGGCTCTACACTACTTTAACATCTATAAGGCAGAAGTTGAGAATCAACTTGAAAAGAAAATTAAACGAGTCCGTTCAAATCGTGGTGGAGAGTACTTCTCGAGTGAGTTTGATTCCTTCTGTGCAGAACATGTCATTATTCATGAGAGGACGCCTCCCTTTTCAACCCAGTCAAACGGGGTTGCCAAGCGGAAAAACCGTACTCTAACTGATCAGGTTCACGCCATGTTAGATACATCGGGTTTATCCAAGGCATGGTGGGGGGAGGCTATATTGACGGCATGTCATGTCCTGAATAAAGTTCCGATAAAGGATAATGAGATCACTCCCTATGAGAAATGGGCAAAGAGAAAGACAACACTCTCGTACTTGCATATTTGGGGCTGTTTGGCGAAGGTCAACGTGCCGATCCCCAAAAAGCGTAAGCTTGGACCCAAGACGGTGGACTGCGTTAATTTGGGCTACGCTAAGAATAGCGTTGGCTATAGATTTCTAGTAGTGAAATCTGAGGTACCTGACCAGAAGGTCGGTACAATTATGGAGTCTAAGGATGCTACATTCTTTGAGGATATTTTTCCTATGAGAGATATGCAAAGCACTTCTAGACAGGAATCTGGGGAGACTTCTGAGCCTGCTATTCCTATGGAATATTATGAACGAACACATGATGAAAATCCTGAGGAGGATGACGAGGAAACCCTTGGTAGGGGAAAGAGACAAAGGACTGCAAAGACCTTTGGTGATGATTTCTTCTTGTACCTCGTGGATGATACTCCCACTTCTATCTCAGAAGCGTATGCCTCTCCAGAAGCTGACTACTGGAAGGATGCGGTCTGTAGCGAGATGGATTCCATCATGGCTAACGGGACATGGGAGATCACTGGGCGTCCCTATGGTTGTAAACCATTGGGATGTAAGTAGGTGTTCAAGAAAAAGCTTAGGCCTGATGGTACGATTGAAAAGTACAAGGCTAGGCTTGTGGCTAAGGGCTATGACCAGAAAGAAGAGGAAGATTTCTTCAATACTTATTCACCTGTGGCTAGATTGACCACCATTCGAGTATTACTTTTGTTGGCGGCCTCACATGGTCTTCTCGTCCATCAAATGTATGTTAAGACGGC